ATGGACTGAGAGGTTCTGGTTCAATTCCCAGTCAGGGCACATGCCCAGGTTTCCAGCTCGCTCCCCAGTGGGGGTTGTACTGTAGGCAGCTGATCGATGTTTCTCTCTCACATCAATGTTTCTATCTCTCTCTCCCTTCCTCTCTCTCTCCAAAAATAATCAGTACAAACATATTTAAAAACAAAAACAAACAAAAAATAATTTGAATACCTCTGCCAATGCATTTGTAGTCTGTTTCTACTATGCCAATCAAATAAATGAGCTCCAGAAAACGAACTGTATGGCTGATAAACACTTGTGTGTTCACAGGTAAAAATACAGATCAGAAGATATATTATTCTGATGTATTAAATAGAGAAGTTAATATTTGACAAAACAAATTCTTAAAATTCAAGACATATTTGTCCTTTAATCTAATATCTTCTAATTAGAAATTATTACTAAAGGTGGATTCATTTATATGATCAAATTCATAAAAACACTTAGGTATCTGTGATTATATCTGTTAACATCAAAAGGAGAGCGAATACACCAAGTCTAGCATGTCACAAAGAGATCAATTTAGCCAAGAGAAAAAAAGGAGAGAGAAAATAAAAATGAACTTACTAGAGTTCTTGGTTTAAATACAAACAAACCAAGACTGCACAAAACAGAAGAAAGATGGATGGATAGATGGATGGATGGATGGATGGATGGATGGATGATGGATGGATGGATGGAAGGGAGGGAGGGAGGGAGAGAGGGAGGCAAGACACTTTGTCTCCTCAATCAGGGAATGATGGGCCAAATATCCTTAAAAGACATGAAGGCTGAACATTAGCACAGCCATTCCCCTTGCAGTGTTCCTGATATCCAAGAGGCACCAACCACCAACAGAATAGCACCACCATGATTTCACTCTCCAATCTAATGTTTAGTAGCCCTACTTGTCACATCCTGTCTTCCCAAACCTCATGAAAAATATCACCAAATCTTGTTGATACTACCTTCTACATAGTCTTTGAACTGATCTATTTTTTCCCTCTTCTCCCACCAACACTGTATTTGACTAGTAGCTTCCTCTTTCCATCACAACCCACAAATTATTCCCGGTTAACCACTCTGACCTCCTTTTAATCTGTTTCCTTTCATTCAGGCAGAGATATCTTTTCAGCATGCAAACCTAGAACCTGACATCTTTGCTTAAAAAGCTTTAATAGGTTCCTTTATTCTTAGAATAAAAACCAACATTCTTAACAAGGCCAGCCGTGATGTGCCCCACACATTCCCCACCCTCCTGCTCCCAGTTTCCTCTGCTCCAGCCACAGCCCCCTTTCAGCTGCTGGTGTCCCCTTCATACCACGTGAGATTTCCTAATATTCTTGCTCTTGCCTGGAATGCTTTTCCTTCAACTCCTGCTTGTTTATTAATTGCCCGTCATTTTTTTTAGATCATTACTTGCTCAGGGAAGACTTTGTGATGCTCTCTCTCTTTTTTTTTTATTTATTTTTATCCTCACCTGAGGACATTTTTCTATTTTTTATTCAGGTAGAGTGGGAGGGGGAGAGAGGAAGAGAGAGAGAAACATCGATGTGAAAGGGACACATCGAGTGGCTGCCACCCGCACGACCAACCAGGGCCAGGGACAAACTGCAACCGAGGTACATGCCCTTAGCGGGAACCGAACCCGGGTCTCTCAGGACCACAGGCCGACGCTCTAACCGCTGTGCCAAACCGGCCAGGGCTGTGATGCTCTCTTTTTTTTTTTTTTTTATCCTCACCCAAGGATATTTTTCCATTTTTGTACAGATAGAGTGGGAGGGAGAGAGAGGAAGGGAGAGAGAGAGAGAAACATCGACGTGAAGGGACACATCGAGTGGCTGCCACCCGCACGACCAACCAGGGCCGGGGACAAACTGCAACCGAAGTACGTGCCCTTAGCGGGAACCGAACCCGGGTCTCTCCAGACCGCAGGCCGACGCTCTAACCGCTGAGCCAAACTGGCCAGGGCTGTGATGCTCTCTTATCCCTACCCCACAGCAGCTGGGATAAGTCACCTTATAGATATTCTCAGCATTATGTACTCCATTGCATTTATCCCAGTTCATAATTACACAATTACTGTGTGGTGATTATTATTGATCTTTATACTAGACTATAAGCTAAATGAAGAGAAAAGCGAGGCATGGTTTTCTCGGTGTTTTAACCTCACTAGTCAAGTTCCTGGCACACAGTGAATAAGCAGTGCTTCTTGAATGAGAATGAGTTTCTCGATGGGGTCAGTAGCAAATGGTTAAAGCAACACTAAATTGCTTATTTCCATTCACCAGATTCACTTTGATCAAAATTTGAATGATAAAATTAAATTAATTTGAAATAATTTAATGAACAAATGCAACAAATGCAAATGAACTAATGAACAATGCAACCATTTTATTTAAACTCCCTAGGATTTTTGGCACCCCATAGATATGACTACAATGAAAGAAGTTTATTGGTGTCTTCCTTTAAGTTATAGAAATTCCGAAATTTATTGCTAAATTGGGCTTTAACACAATTTTCTAGTATAATGTCCTCATTAGATGAGAGTCTAACAAAATCTGCAAAAGGTCATCCAGCCGGTTAGTGACAGAGCAGGGACGAAAACCAGCCATTTCAACTCCCAGTTCAATGTTTATTTCCTGCAACTATGCTGCAGTTTCTAGGTCTTATAGCTTTGTTTTCATATTAGAAATGTGTAAGAATCTATAAGTACCCATAAGAGAAATATCTCCGAATGGTTCATTTTGTCACATCATTTAGATTTCTGCTTTAAAATATTAAAATAAATAGCAGTATTATGGAAAGGTAAAACACAAGCCCAATTTTGTAAGAAATAAAACACTCTCGTGACTTATTTGCAATTTACATGGTATGCTTTAAGTGGGGAGGGTGGATCCATGTTTCGCTCGTTTCTCAATATTCTAAAGAAAAGAATTTCTCCAGTTAAATCTGGTTGTCATAAATCAGTTTCTAAAAACCCACAGGAAGCTAGATTCTGAGGAACTGGTTGGGGCAGGGACATATGGATGGAAAAGCACTGCTGGTATACAGTCTGCTACAGCTGGCTCTGTGACACGGGACTTCCCCCTGCAGATGTCACTTTCCCTGCCTGTATCCCCTCAGGAGATTGGTCTACTCTGCATCATGGGCTCTGTGGGTGGGCTTTCGTGACCCCACTAAGCCTCTGGTGTGTCTATGTGAGTGTACAGTTGTGGAAAGAAGAGATGTCCATAGCTTCTATCAGATTGGCAAAAGGGTCTAGGACACAAAACAGGTTAATTCTGTCTGTACTAATATCGAAACTCTCCCCTAGCTTTTGAAATGTAATAAAGCTATACATGTAATTATGATTTCAGCTAGAAAACAGGGATTACTACAGTTATTAGCACAAGTAATAAGATTATTTGGGGAGCATATTCTGCACAAAGGAGTCCTACCATTGTCAACCACACATTTAAGCTTTAGTGGAGGAACGTCACTGAAAGCCCAGTCCAGATTTTCCACAATCAGCATCAATTGCCCCAGACAGTGGAACTCCAGGTGATAAAAATCTAAGTATGGCACAGGTTATTTAGTCCTGCCTTTTTATCATCAGTGTTTTCATGATCCATCAAAGTAGGCCAGCTACATAGGATAGCATAGAGTGCAGGCAACTCAGAGCAGTTTGCCAGCAAAAAAAAAGCTACTTTCTTACTTCTTACAGTTTTCAGGTTATCTATTCCAAAAGCTTTGTGATTATAATGTATGGATGGTTGAACAGCCTCAGTGCTATACTATCTCTGTAGTTATTAAAGACACAGAAATGAAAGTCATTCTGCTTACTTACCCCCTTCCTTTCTTTCCTTTTTAATTTAATACATATTCATTAATTGCCTACCACATGCCAAGCATGTTTCTGGACCCTTGTGAAATAGCAGTGGGTGAAATATATTCTCCCCTTATGGTGCTTATAGTGTAGAAGGGGAGAGATAAAATAAACAAGATACATACAAAACAACTTATTTACTATTGTAAAAGTGATAATGCTTTGGCAGAAAAGGAAAAAAATTAAGGGCAGGGAGATTCGGACTCGCAGAGGTGAGGAGAATGTGGCAGCTTAGGCGGGTCCAGGCAGGCCTCATTGAGATGCTGTCATTACCAAAGACTTGAGGATATGAGGGACTGCACCAAATATAGGGTCATGGTGAAGACCTTTCCAGACAGTGGAGAAGCCAAGACAAGGGTGTGCTTGATTTGTCCAAGGAACAGCCAGGAGGCCACTGCAGCCGGGAGAAAGCAAAGATCGTTCTGCTGCTGTGGTCATGAAATTGATAAAATTTCATCTTCCCGCTGACACCCCATTTTCTATTACTTACCTGATTAAAACAAAAGTCATAATATCTTTTATACGACTGTACTAGAGTCACAGTTGCATCAAAGAGGCAAAGTCAAAATACTTCTGAGAATTTTAAATATCACCCCAACATCATGATTTCTGGTTGTTATGCATTTCAAGTACCTCAGTTCCCACAGAGATTAATTTGGCAATAAACTGTCACATGATATTTGAACATGTCATTGAATGGGAGATGATGTCATTAGAAAGAAATCAACTAAAAGGTCTTCATTTCGAAAATGCAGAAACTGGGCACAAAGCGATTTGTTACGTTCTGATAAAGAGAAATGCCAAGGTTCTCAGCCAACATGAAAGCACCCATTCTTCCTGAAATGTCACTGCTCCTTTGGCATTTATTACATTGCTCATTTCATGAACTTTCTTCCAGAAAAATGAAACAATCATGATCATTGTACAATCTGCATGGCATTTATCTGGGTTCATACCTTAAGAAAGAATACCCATATAAAAGTAGTACTTTTTAATAGGGAGGGTCCGCCAGCCCTCCCCAATTAAGCATCTTATTCCTGTCTAGAGCCTTGCATGGAAACACATTGTGATCTCACAGGCTTACAAGTACAACGTAAAATGCATGCAACCATACCTTGCCCAACTGGTCCTTTTTGCCAAAGCCAGTAGCGGCTGCAATGTTCCCGGCTCCCTCTACTGTCTTATGTGCGACTGCTGTCATCCCTGTCACCATCGCCTCTCCAACATTTGTCACTTGCTCTTTGGTCTTCTCAGCCACTGGGATAAACCAAGAGCAATGGCAGATTAAGAGACGATGGAACGACAGCAACTTAAAATCCTTTTACTTCCACCGGCTGTCAAGTTCGAAAGACCTATATGCACATACACCACAGACAGCTGAAGAGTTGGAAGAAAGAAAAGCTAGAGATGTCTAAGTGAGTGTGGAGCCAAATACTAAATCTTTGCTAAGATATTTTGTTTTAATCACTAAAAGGTGTTTTTAAGTTTAATTATCACGTTCGGAGCCATGAGCAATTTGAGTGTGGCTTACATGTTACGAAGGAAAGGTTGCAGAAAGCTATGCTTACAGGTGCAGTTACAGTTGTAGCAGACTCAGCATAAGATGTCTTTTCTTAAATTTCAGTTCCAGTGACAATTTTTTTATCTCACCCAATGGTTCATTTTCACCATTCCTTCTGAGTCACATGGCACATCCACACTCATGCATGTATGTTACTGTCAGAAATAAACCGTGGAGGAAGGATGCTTATGAGGATCCTTTGGTCTTTCCATAAAACTCAGGTAGTTGAAACAGGAGGGATTTTTAAAAAAATTTTTTTTCTTTATTGATTTTAGAGAAAGAGTAAGTGAGAGGGAGAGAGAGAGAGAAACATCAATGAGAGAGAACATTGATTGGCCGCCTCCCGCAAGCCCTCCACCGGGGATCGGGCCCACAACCTGGGCATGTGCCCTGACCAGTAATTGAACTGGTGGCCTTTTGGTGCATATGGTTCAATGCTCAACACTGAGCCACAGTGGCCAAACAGAAACAGGAGGATTTTTAATATGATTAATTTTCAGTAACTTTAATGAGAACAAAAGGGCCAGACATGAGGTATGAAAGTGAAGAGGTTTGTTGAACACAACTAAAATTTCTTTTCAGAAACAAAATAGAAAGAATATGGTTTTTCAGTATATTTTTAAAAGTTACAAATTTAGAAAATTGAATCAATAGTTTAGAATTGGATTTAGAAGCAGAGATTTAATCTTATATCGAAAATAGCCAAGACACTATCCGATATAATTGCTGAACTAATCTTTCCATGTTCCCTCCATGCCATTACCAAATAAAGAAAGCACAAATAAAAATGTTTGTTTTTATTAAAGAGGTCTATGAAATAGTGGAAAAAGATAAGAGAATCTGCTCTTTCAACTCAAAGACAGTGGAGAAATAAAACAATCTCTCTTCTTCTAAACCTGGTAACATTGATGCTCATAAAATGTAGACCTTGCATCTGTAATCTCCATCTATGCAATGCTTGATGTATTTTCTTTTTGCCCAGCAAACTAATTTTTGTCTGCTTTTTTTCCACATTTCTGGAATTTGGTGTGCTATTTTTTCCCTCAGGCTATCTCCTAAGCAAAAAGAGACACATTTTTTTATTATGCTTTGTGCTTGTATATATTCTCTCCAGATAAGTCCCAGTCTGAGGAACCCAAGGAGTTACACCATGTCAGCTGTTCAGTGTTACTTGCGAGTCATAGGATTACTGTACAGCGTTCATGTCACCAGGTGGGAGAGGAAATGATTAAGCAGTGTGGACAAAGCACTTTGGTTTCAAACAGACTATGTAGGTCATGGAAGCATGGGTGGTCTGTAAGGATGAAGAGGCTTACTGCGGGTCCCAGGCCATGGGGAAAGGAGATGAAGTGGCCCTAGAGTCTAAAATCAGGAAGACAGCGCAGCAGGTGATGCTTAATATTTGACTTTTACCACTTCTGGAATATGGCTGATGCCTCCTAAGAAGTAATGGCTATTCAATATGCAAAGTTCAATTTAAATGCCAGTGAAAAGCTGTACTGCAAATTGCATGTTCTTAAACATTTCTAGAATGTTTATTCATTAAAAATAGTGAATTATGAGCTTCAGGTTGTCACTTTTCCCCCCAAGAACCTGAATAGAAAATCGTGCATGATAATGAACATTTTCTTGTTACAAAAATCATGAATACAAAAGTAAATTTTGATCCTTTTTACAGACTCGGAATTTTTTGCCAGCCATGAAAATTTATTTTTGCAATACCTAGATAATTATTTATATATGTATACATCTTAATCTATTTTAATGCATATAAACTGCACAATAAAATGCATTTGTACTTTATTATACTTTCATTAGGTTTTATCATTGTAAGAATAAGTAAATTAGTTACACTACAAAATGACAGAGTATACATGTAACAATATAAAAATTAAAGCCTTCAGAAAATCTTCAGTAATAGGAAGATCTTTACACTGTACATACAGGAGGGAAAAAATGAATATGTTCATATCATAATTTATTTTTTGATCTTTAAATCACCCTTAAAGACATGAGTCAATAAGTCCAGATTAAGTGCAAAATTATATCTCCCTGTAATGTGATACAGAAGCTGACAACTGAAATAACAATGTCCTAACATAAAAAGACAGAGTGTAAGGTCGAATTTTCTGGATTTTATCTTGCGATTATCTAACTAGGAGAATTTATTTTCCTTGGATACTGTAGGTAGAAAACTCCTGGCCTACCTAAGTCAGAATATTCAAATTCTATACTACTTTATCAGTTAAACATAGTTGGTCGATTCAGAGTCATCATTCTTGACAGTTAAAGGTATTGTTTTATTTATTTATGACAAATCTGTACCTATTTAAAAGTATTTCATGAAGAATTGGGACTAATCAGAGCTGATGTTCCCTTAGACTGCTCCTCCACAGGCACAGCGGTGGTCACAGTTCCATTCTGCGTGGCAAGTGCCAGGCTGACACAGCTTACGAGACATTTCCTAACGCTTCCCTGGACATGAGCCCATGGAGCTTACCTGTTGTCACACCATGGACCACTCCTTCCTTAGTTTTGGAGCCTATAAAAAAAAAAAATTCAAAACATAAGTCTCAAACTGAACTTACATTGCTAATAGCTCATTTTAAATACAGCTAATAACCAAAACTTCAATCTGTAGGTGCCCATACACAAAGATATCCTCAGGGCCAAAAAACCTACCCCAAGGAAATCCAGCTGCCACTACAAGTAGAAGGAAGTCAAGCTAACAGGAGGTTCTCTCCAATTAAGATTTCAGCACACATGATGGCTTTTTATTCCCTTGTGTCCCACTTCACACATCCACTTCCAGAGGGGAAGAAAAAGGTGAGATAACACCGGGCTGGGTGGGAAGATGGCTTTGGATTCAGAACTGTGGAAGCTTCACTCAAGTACAGTACAACAGAGATCAGTTAACCCATAAAACACATGGAAGGAAGAGGGAAAAGGAGGAATCAACATTTGTTGAATACCTATTACGTAAAAGTCATTTTATATCTCGTATTATTTGATATCAAAACATCCGTTTCTTATAGGTGTATTATATTCATTTTATAGATGGAGAAATTACAAATGAAAGTGAAATGATTTGTCCAAAGTTACACAGCAACTGGCTACAAGCACATTCAAATCCATGCTGCTCCATTAATCCAGGTAAACCTTTAGAAGGGATTATTTTATCATTCAGATATTACTATTACTAACTTCACGATGGGGAAAGATAGAAACTTCCACAAATTCTAACCATCTTTTATAAAAATACTTTATTAATATTTGTCATTAAAACTAAGTTTGTTAGCAATTTTACTTATAAGCTCTCTAAGGTTATAGTTTTTAGTATCATTCACACCAGTTTTTTAATAAAATAATTTTGGAGAAAAATAATAATGGATTGGAGATTCCCTTGAGAACTATACTATAAATCAAATCATGTAATTTTATCAGACATAGAGGAATATAAAGAAATGAAGACAAAAATCTGTGAAATGACTTAAACCTATATTTGGATATTAAAATAGTTACCAATCTTTAGTTTAAAAATGCATTCTTTTGCAAACCCTTACTAAGTACATGAGAAATAACTGTTAACACATTTCAAATCAAAGGAAAAAAGTGTAAGAGAGCCTCAGTTTCCTTATCAATAAAATTCATACATAAGATTAAATAATCTCTAAGAATCTGGTTTTTAAATGGAGAGTGTAACACAATTAATTGAGTTGAAGCATGCAAAATGCGGACAATTGAGTCAGAGCCTCAAATATTCAGTAAATATTTACAGATAATTGCAAATTTAATAACCCTCATGATCTAATGCAGGTAACTCATCGGTCAAATCTGAAAAACACTGGTCTAAGGCAGCTCTAGTTCCAAATTTACCTAAAATTTAGAAATACATATCAATGACTTAAACAATATGATAAAAAATAATAAATAAGTGAATAGTATGATCAATAAGATGATCTAAATAAATATACAGGATCATAATAAAAATGTTCATCAAACATATTTATGAAAACAGACAAATATGACATTAAGTAAAATTTGCATGCTTCATAAATTTACATTTTACACAACAGTCAAGGAAAGTTTCTAGATTTAATAAAATCATTTAAATATATGAAAGGTCCAGCCGAAGTGGCTCAATAGTTGAGCGTCAACCTATGTACTAAGAGGTCACCAGTTTGATTCCTGGTCAAGGCACATGCCCAGGTTGTGGGCCAAATCCCCAGTGGGGGGCATGCAGGAGGTGACCAATCGATGTTCTCTCTCATCAATGTTACTATCTCTCTCTTCCTCTCCCTTCCTCTCTAAAATAAAAAAAAAATTAAAATACATATATTCAAGAACTTCTAATTTGTGAATATTTAAGACCCCCAATAAAAATAAAACATAAAGGAGCATTTGAGATCTTGCCCCCAAGCATATGTCATCAATTTTGGCTCAAATAAACTAAGAAAAAAATAAACTATAATTTTGTACTTAAGAACATAAGGTCTGGATTCAGATTTTCTGGATATTAATCTTCTCTTCACCACATACTAATCAAATATATATCAGTCAACATGAAGATCAAAGGAAATCACACATATAAATGTTTTTGTTTTTGTTTTTTTTAATCCTCATCTGAGGACATTTTTTCCATTTTTTATTCAGATAGAGTGGGAGGGAGAGTGAGGGAGAAAGAGAGAAAGAGAAACATTGATGTGAAAGGGACACATTGAGTGGTTGCCACCCGCACAACCCAACCAGGGCTGGGGACAAACTGTAACCGAGGTACCTGCCCTTAGCGGAAACCAAACCCGGGTCTCTCTGGACCGCAGGCCAACACTCTAACCGCTGAGCAAACTGGCCAGGGCGCATATAAATGTTTTTAAAAAGTGTATAGTACATAAATATTTTTAAGTAAAAGTGTTATTCTTTACATATAAAAAGATTTGCAATTTAAAACAAATGAAAAATCACCAAATCAAAAATTCAAATAAATAAAATAAGCAGATGTTAAATATGTTATAGAATATAGGATAGTATTTTAGATGTGTGGGTGTGTATGTATTTTGCAGGCAATGTTCACTTTGAACAGTATCATGGGATCATGAAATGACTATGTACAAGCTGAGTTCAAGTTGTGGAACCTGATCTTAATACTCAAGATGAAAATTACAATTCATCAGTGATAAAAATTTCCATTGTTCCATGACCTTTAATATTTTTTTCTCAAAACATTAAAAACCCTCTTAGTGATTTATAAATGTACAGGGGAATGAAAGGTTAGTAAAACTAGCCCTGGCCAGTTTGGCTCAGCGATTAGAGTGTCAGCTCACAGACCAGGGAGTCCCAGGTTCCATTCTGGCCAAGGGCAAGTACCTTGGTTGCAGTTGGTCCCTGGTCCCAGTTGGGGTCGTGCGGGTGGCAACCGATCAATGTGTCTCTCTCACATCAATGTTTCTCTCTCTCTCTCTCTTTTCCCCCCTCCTGCTCTGTCTGAAGACAAATGTAAAAATATCTTTGGGTGAGGATTTAAAAAAATAATAGTAAAACTAGTATTTACTTAGTAAACTCTAATTTAAAACATTGAGAACAAAGTGTTTTATTTCTTTATAAAAAACATAACTAGTTTAAACACTGCTTTTATTCTTGTTCTCATTGTATAACTTCCCGTATAGAGCAACATCTTTTCTAAGCTTTAGAAAATTGGTAACTGTAAATTTGGGTCTGTTTCTAAAATGTTACCCTTTATACTTTTAATGTCATGATCCATCTCTGACTGTTCTTTTAAAGTGAGGTGTTTGTGGCACCCCTTCCTCTGGGGCATCTTCACCTTACTCATCATAACCACGTCTGCGCGTATGGTAACAGTCACCGTCAGGAAGTTTCTCTGGTTGCACATCTAGTGTCTCCTGAATTGTGGCAATGTCAATATTCCCACTGTCAGCTATTTCATCCCTCAATAAATTTATGTTAGAATCAAATTTTACTTCCAGCATTTTTCACTTTCGTTGCCGCACTTTCATCATTTCGAGCCAATTTCCTCTTTCAATTATGCATTTTTGTAAATTGTTACATGAATTTTTCACTGGGAGCAGCAACATGACCACAGGCTTTGCTGTTTATGTGAACTGAATAGCAGATGTGCAGTGACCAATCAATCACCAACAGACTTGGAAAAAAGCAACATGATTTGGTCATGTATCAGAATGGGTTTCTGTTGTGCATGTAGTGATCTGTGGGTTGAAGAGCTAAGAGAAGTTGATACTTCATGCAATCACTCACAGTCTTGTGTTGTGGTAACAGAAATCTGAACTCTGTTGTTAGGGACTGGTGTTATTGAATTAACTGTGGTGACTGAATTCATGTATCCTGAAACTGTGTTAAGTGAAAATAGCCTGTATTTGAGAGAATATTTCTTATCACTACGCACCTGCTACCCCTTGCAACCATATTTTAAGAAATGACTAAATGGCTAGTAGAAAGAAATGTTTTACAGTTGGTCTGTAGTCTTTACTGTTTTCCTCAGTAGTACCCGAGAATTTGACCTTTGGCTAAATCATGGAATGTATGCTTAATCAAATATAAATAAGAATCTTGATAAGATTGATTCTTATCAAACAAATAACCTGTTGTTTGCTGTCCATTATTTATTAGTATGTAATTAAAAACCTTTAATTGATGAGTAGCCTATAATTTAAAAAGATACTGCTACAAAATAGGTGCCAAGTGGCTATGTGACTAGAGAAATATAGAAGTTGAAGGGACACCAGAACTAATAGTTCCATAGCCTACACAGTCCCTTCTTATCCCTCATGACTACACAAAACTACAGAATGAAAAAGGTTCGAAGTAATGCCTCGTAATTGCAAGAACTCAACTATGCTGTGGTTCAAGAAAAAAGCCTACTTTTCTCATGAGGTTTATGAAAAGTGTGTCAAATTTGCTCAGCCACAGTGAAATTAGAACATTTTCTTTAGTCACTTCCAATTTCTCAAACTAGTTATTAATAATAGGTTTTGTAATGAAGTATAAAAATATAAAAGAAAAGATGTTGAGCCTGGCCAGTATGGTTCAGTGGTTGAGCATCAACCCATGCACCAAGAGGTTGTCCATTCAACATGCCCAGGTTGTGGGCCAAATCCCCAGTGGGAGACATGAAGGAAGTAGCCAATCAATGTTCTCTCTCATCGATGTTTCTATCTCTCCCTCCCTCTCCATTCCTCTCTCTCTAAAATCAATAAATAAAAAAATATTTTTTAATTAAAAAAATATAAAAGAAAACATGTTGAGCCCCTTCAGTGTGGCTCAGTGGACTGAGCACTGTCCCATGGACTGACAGGTCCCAGTTCAATTCTCGGTCGGGTCACATGCCCAGGTTGTGGGCTCAATCCCCAGTAGGGGATGTGCAGGAGGCAGCCAATTGATGTTTCTCTCTCACATTGATGTTTCTATCTCTCTTTCCCTTCCTACCTAAAAAAAAAAAAAAAAAAAAAAAATCGATAAAAACATACTTAAATAAAAAAATTTAAAAATATATGTTGACAAAGTAATTAT